CAGTTTTTGAAACGTTCCCACGCCTGTGGTGTAATATGAGCATTTAAACGATGCTGGGTATACTATTGACATTAATATTGCAGCTTCCCGCTTCATTGCACATTGATTGGATCTGTCCATGCTTGCCGCATTATTGTTATCGAACAAAGCTCAGTATCTGTATATGTTTCTATGCGGTATACCCATAACACATGCTCTGTTGGTATGTAGCTCATTTCAATTCACTATGAACTAAAAAAGGACACATTTGGGTCTCAGGGTTGTATTAAGATATACAGCCCCAGTCAGGCCAAATACAGACAGCATGATATGTACAGGGTGCGTGTATGATGGTTGCAGGAAGCAGGTATAATCTTATTTCCTGTAGATGATATTTTGCAGGAAGCAGGAAATGATGAAGGATGGGCCCTGGTTGGCCCTGGGAGGGTTCTTCCGTTTGATGATCTGAAATACAAAGTCAGATTATAGCCATTGCATGCATCACGTGACAAAAACATTGTCCACATCCATGGTGGGAATATAGCCTCATGGCCATATGTTTTGTTAAGCTTTGAACGACGGTTATTGGTACTCTCGGAAAAAATGTTGATTGATTTGGCTGGTTGTTTTACTGTGGCGAGGATGAAAGAAAAAACAGTGTGAGGATGTCTAAACGACCATGAGAAGGTATGATTTTCCCCCAGATGTCGGAAAAAATTAAAACTGTTTCGGGCTCACAGTTTCATTTTGATCGTTATCTTGGTGTCGTGCTCATTATGAAAGCCACATTTTCCGCTGATTTCGGTCCGGGTATTGACAATGCATTCCAATGCTTCTCTGCATTGACGAGAGCATTTTAGTTTCTATGGCATCTTTTGCTCAGGTGGTTTTGACGCACTGAGGGACAACTGAGAACTGCGGCCAAATGTGGGCCACGCCTGCAGTAGACGCCGAGGGCTCTCAGCAGAGTGGCCGCCGCCGCTCGCGCCGGCGGCACGCTTCACGTGATCGGACGACTCAGCAGTGGAGGTCCCGTCTTTACCCTCCCCGCCGCTCGAGGGCCCGCCCAACTCCTTTTCTCGACTGCGCAGAAAACGCATTGATCAACAGATCGGGAAAGCGATCTTGCTAATCATTTCTGACAAGGTTTCCAGCATGTTCCGACAACTGGCCCAGTTCCGCATGTCATTCAGAGGAGTTGCACACCTCTGGTTACCAGACGAGAGCGCAGCGGAAACTCGGCGACGTGCGCAGCACGAAAGCCTCAGCAACCGACAAGGACGCAGGTCGATGGCCATTGTAACCCGAGTTTTTGCAAGGCCGACGACAATCAACCGAGTGGCGTCGTCACATCCTGTTGCGCTGGCTCGCCAGCAGTAATGATCGCCGTTGCATTATGTATGACGCGCGAGGCTACAAGTAGCAACCGCTGGGCAGCAACAGAGCGAATATAGCAGGCCCTGCGAGCCGCCGATCGCCACCTTCGAGCCGCCAATTGCCGCTTGCGAGCCGCTGACTGTCGCCCGCGAGTCGTCTCCGAGCCGTCTACGATCCGCTGATTGCCGCTTGCGAGCCGCTGATAGTTGCCCGCGAGTCGTCTCCGAGCCGCCGATTGCCGCATGCGAGCCGCCTTCGAACCGCCGATTGCCTCTTGCGAGCCGCTTATTGTCGCCCGCGAGTCGTCTCTGAGCCGTCTTCGAGCCGCTGATTGCCGCTTGCGAGCCGCTTATTATCGCCCGCGAGTCGTCTCCGAGCCGTCTTCGAGCCGCTGATTGCCGCTTGCGAGCCGCCGATTGCCGCCTGAGAACCGCCGATTGCCGCTTTCGAGGCGCCGTCGAGCCGCCGACTGCCACTTGCGAGCCGCCTTCGAGCCGCTGACTGCCGCTTGCGAGCCGCCTTCGAGCCGCCGATTGCCGCCTGGGAACCGCCGATTGCCGCTTGCGAGCTGCCGACGACTGAGACATCTTCTGGAGTCGTCTGACATTACGGAAGCATCCACGGAGTGCCTGGCCTGGTCAGTATGTGATCCGCTGGGCGTTAGCGCGGTTGGCGTTCCCGGAAAAACATCGCGGCCGGCGCGTGACAGATTGGACCCGGGCGACCGGCCGACGGCGGTATCAAACTTGCTGCTCACGTGGCGGGGACGCAAGGAACGGCGAATCTATACTGCGTCGTGGCTTCAGTAACGGCACTGGGATGCGCTCTGTATATGTCAGTAGCGCTCACTCCGTTTTGAGGGTGTTGTGAATGTTCCTGCATACATACTGTGCATACAGACGCTGCGATTGGGGTGCTGCGGCGGCGCTGGCGCGCCGTAGGGTTGCAGCAGCAGTGTGCCGGCTGCAGAGCGGTTGCAACAATGCTGACACGGCGGTGTGAGCCCGGCAGTACTGACGCAGGAGTGCTGACGCGTCTCGTCGTGCAACCCTGGCCGTGCGCGCTGACTTAGGGTGACGTCAGACGCTCGTGACAAAACACGTGACGTCAGCAGCCCGTGAGGCGGCGACGAATCCATCATGTCCCAGCTGCTGCGTGCCGCCGAGAACGTCAACCGACCGCGCCACCAGCGGCGTTTAGTTCCGCTGCCGGGCGGCGAGGCGGCGACCGTGGCGAATGGGCGGACGGGGCCAGACGATGGCCCTGGCACGTCATCGATACGGACAACGGCAGCGCGACAGGAGCCTGCAGACCTCTTAAGTCGGACCCAAAAACCAAAGTCTCGCCGGAAAATGTTTGAAGGGATAACAGATCTTATCCATGGTGAATGAAGACACTTAAGATCAATTCTCGGGGCACGCGAAGATCCCACAGGAGCCTTTACGAGTCCACCCTGGCTCCTGAAACATCTTAATGTAGTTTGCTACTGGCTCCGAGTGCTGACATATCCTTCACAGTCACAGTTACAGTTACAACAGTTTTATTTAAGGCGACGCACGTGGTGGTTGTTCTGCACCTAGTCAAACAAGGAAAAAGAGCCCACACCGTACAGTGTGGTGTACGGTGTGGGCTCTACAGATATACACATACCCGTATAGACACACAGTTTCATTCGACGAGTCGGCGATTTAAAACAGTTAAGAATGCCCGGCGCGAGGGGACGCGGACAGCCGACGTAGGCAGTCGGCTCCACATGGCGGCGGCGCGGTACGGAAAGGGTCGCTAAGTGGCGCGCACTCGGACGCGTGGCAGATGCAGCGAGCCGACACCGCCCAAAACAGCCCGAGTTTGGCGTTGGGAAGATTCGGTGCGCGTTACGAATAAAGCACGCAGTGCACTAGGAGATCCGGGGACGTGCAGTGCCCTGTACACATTCAGGCAGTCCCGGTGGTGCACCAGGTCCGAGACGCTACGCCAGCCGAGCGCGTCCAGAACGGATGAAACGTGAGCACTGCGGCTGACACCACTCACCAGCCTGGCTGCGAAGTACATTACCCTGTGCATCTTGTCTAGGTGACGCTCGGTCGCTCCACCCCAGATTGGACAGGCAGTAGAGGGTGTGGGGGAAGACATGGATTTTGACAAGGAGCTTCAAAACCTTGCGAGTGATGTGGTGTCGGATCTTGAACAGGGATATGAAGATTGCGTTACAACGCCGAATGAGAGAGGAGATGTAGGGTTCCCAGGTGAAGTGGTAGTCGAGGAGTACACCCAGTTTTTTCCCTGAACATGATGGATGAATGCTTGTGCCGGAGATGGTAATGTGGAGGTTGCCACTCCTTGTGATGGATCTGGTGCCGATTAGCATGAAGTCTGTCTTTTTGGGACTCATTTTAAGGCTCCTTGGCTGAATCCAGTTTTGAAGGCACTGAATGGACCCCTTGACACGGGCTTTCAGGTTGGACAGGCCGACGACATCGGGGGCAGCGGAGTCAAGGAGTTGTGTGTCATCATCATAGGACAGTAGACGGCCGTGGGGTAGGAAGCTGGATAGGTGGTCGATGAAGATGAGGGCCAGGATTGGGCCGGCAAGAGATCGCTGGGCCAACCCGTGGGACAGATATAAGGCTGCCGGGCCACCACCGACCACCTGCTTCCGACCGCTCGGGTAGTCCTCGGGTAGTCCTCGGGTAGTCCTCGGGTAGTCCTCGGGTAGTCCTCGGGTAGTTCTCGGGTAGTCCTCGGGTAGTCCTCGGGTAGTCCTCGGGTAGTCCTCGGGTAGTCCTCGGGTAGTCCCAGGACTACCCCGGGGACACTCCACACCAATCCAGTTTGCTGAGGCGGACGTCGTGATCAGCGCTTCCAAGGGCTTCGCAAGGGTCAATGGTCGTTATCGACGCGTGATCGACCTTGATTGGACGGACGGAGCCCATAAAAACAGTTGAACATCCTTAATATGTTTGGGTGGAGGGGCTGTTGTCATAAAAATTCTGAATGTATCAGAAATACTGATAGAAGTTTTCATGCATGTAACTTAACAATAATTGGCTACTTGATCCAAAGTCTTTGATTGTTTCAAGCAGGTTCGAGGCGCTAACAATTTGAAAGTCTAACTGTATGAAAAATCGTCCATCTTAGCAGTACATTGAAGTACGGTGATGTTCGTATTTAGCACCGAGGACTCAGCACGAGAATGTCGGTATTGACTGCTTCAGTCCAGACACGTGTCTCTCAGCTGCTGTGCGGGCGCGGTTAGGACGCTGTCGTGCTACAGAACACTCGGCGCTGCCGCACTTCAGCCTTCGCTTTGGCATTGGGGAGGGGGAGGGGGGTCGCTAATGGCCATAGCAGCCGCATGTTTTGCAAATAGCGTGCCGGTCGTGACCGCTGGCGCCAGTCCAACTCAACAGGACCCGTCTCCTTGGCAAGCACCGACATTTCCTGTCCCGGCGGGCTCGTCGGCGGGCAGACAACTACCATCGCTTGGCATAAAACGGCTCGTATAATAAAGGGCGCGGCCACATATGCCCCAAGTCATCGCCCACAATGTCATCACGCTGTCGCCGGCCGAGCACAGTCTAAAGCATCCAACTGTTGGAGCGGCGTCGCTCGAGCCGGCCGGTGACGGGGCTGTTGTTCGGCAGGCGGAATGGCCGGGAAGGCAGCCGGCCACCGGACGGACCGACCGCTGCCAGCCTTCCAGTCGGAGCTCACTGGTTCCAAGAGTACACCTACAAGAAGATCACTGCCTGCGACACCTGCAATCAGATTCTCAGAGGTACGTGCGTCCGCCCGCCGCGCGTCGGTGGCACGCGCCAGCCGGCGCCGCGTCAGGCGGAGAGGGTGCTGTTTCTCGAGGACGGCGGGCGTGCGCTGTCACGAGTGCGCGCGCTCGTTTGCTGCCATTTCATAGGTGGGCCAGAATGTGACAAATTATTGCTGAGCGGTCGGAAGCAGGTGGTCAGTGGTGGCCTCACAACCTAATCTCTTTCCCACGGGGTGGCCCAGCGATCCCTTGCCGCCCCAGTCTTGTTCCTCATCTTCATCAACGATCTATGCAGCCTCCTACCCCACGGCCGCCTACTATCCTAAGCCGATAGCACCCAACTCCTTGACTCCGCTAGCTGATTAGTGTTTTTCCGCACTTTCAGACTCACTGCTTGGCAGCCACCTCTTAGATTTGGGGGTGATCACTAAAAGCATGCTTCGGTCACACTCTGCCCGACTGACCTACCGTTCCCAATGTGATCCCATTGTTCATTTGGTTCTTGTTGTTTCAACGAGTTACCAGTGTTAGCGAGATCAAGTTGTTTTCTTGGGCGTCTCACATGCAGACAGCAAAGTTAGTGACTTTCGTACGGACCCCCAAGGAAAGTTGCAGTTTGATAGGAGGGGGTTGTAAGAAAGCGTCATCACGGGCGCGGAGCCAGTGTGTGGTCGTTTGGGGCCGGCACGTCATCAGTGTCACATCGACGCAACAATGTGATGTCATCGACCGACAGGAGATGAGCCGGACAGCGCTCCTGCATCTGTGTCGGGCCGCCCGGGCCCTCAAACGGCAGGTCGGCGCCAAATCTTCCTCTCCTGTCCGTCATCGCGTGCCCGTTTGTGTGGGATCCTGAATTGAACCAATCAATCATCTAACTTACAACTCGCGTGAACTTGCTTTACCATCGCCAGCTTAAGGCTTTGTGCCTCCCCTTCCTCTCCTCCCCCTCCCCCGCTTGTATTTTTTCCAGGGAGGTCCCGACCAGATCCTCGCATCATATGAGCGTTTAGTCTGGCTGAATTTTTATTTGGACGCACCTGACCAACAATTTTAGACGTCTACACCGTCTGATCACGGACCTTGTTCCCAAAAGTCCGCATGGTGAGAATCATTTGCGGGCTACTGTGTCGGTTTTTCTATATATGCGCTACCGCATCGAGCAATAAGGCGACAGCGGTCGTGCTGCGACGCACACACACACACACACACACACACACACACACACACACACACACACACACACACACACACACACACACACACACACACACACACACACACACACACACACACACACACACACACACACACACACACACACACACACACACACACACACACACACACACACACACACACACACACACACACACACACACACACACACACACACACACACACACACACACACACACACACACACACACACACACACACACACACACACACCACACACACACACACACACACACCACACACACACACACACACACGCACACACACACACACACACACGCGCGCGCAAACTGCTTTGTGGAAGGCGTATGCGGCGAAAGTTTATTTTTTTGCTCTCGGGCTAGCAGATGCGTCGCTTTTGAATTACCAAATGGGGACGAATCATGATTACAACCAATTTACTCTAGACGTGGTCATGCTATAACTTTCAAAAGTATTGACGGCATCACAGCTGGGTAAAAGAAAGCAATTTGGCTCCGCTGAGTCATGCGTATGAGGTCACTTACAATCAATCACTGACCTCGGTGCTGACTGGAATGCGTTCGTGTTAGTGTCGTTTTTCCGCAAGTGTTTCCGTCACACTTTGTTGGTCTCTAGTCCCGTGGAGAAGACTTGGGTGGACAGAAAGTCTTTAATCTCAGGAACTGACGTATTTCAGACTTCAAACGTTAAGATTAATATGCCATCGTGGAATAAAATATGGCGAGATCCGTTTCACACGCTATGGCAAACCTATACATTTCCCAAAAGTTTTATCTGAATATAGTGTGATCCTTGACTAGCTTACGCGGACCACTTTGATGATGTGTCTGTGACCGACACAGCATGACACCGCTAACATCCAAACCTGCCCGCTGCTTGGGTGCTGCTTCACACTAACTTCCGTTGCTGGGTGTGCCCATGTGCAGCCGACGCCATTCACAGACCACATCCCTCCATGTTCGGCGGCGCCTTCCGCAGCGCGGGTCAGTGACGCCCGTGTCGCCGCCGCTGTTCGGTGGTGTCTTCCGCAGCGCGGGCCAGTGACGCCCGTGTCACCGCCGCTGTTCGGCGGCGCCTTCCGCAGCGCGAGCCAGTGACTCCCGTGTCGCCGCCGCTGTTCGGCGACGCCTTCCGCAGCGCGGGCCAGTGACGCCCGTGTCGCCGCCGCTGTTCGGCGGTGCCTTCCGTAGCACGGGCCAGTGACGCCCGCGTCGCCGCCGCTGTTCGGCGACGCCTTCCGCAGCGCGAGCCAGTGACGTCCGTGTCGCCGCCGCTGTTCGGCGACGCCTTCCGCAGCGCGGGCCAGTGACGCCCGTGTCGCCGCCGCTGTTCGGCGGTGCCTTCCGCAGCACGGGCCAGTGACGCCCGCGTCGCCGCCGCTGTTCGGCGGTGTCTTCCGCAGCGCGGGCCAGTGACGCCCGTGTCGCCGCCGCTGTTCGGCGGCGCCTTCCGCAGCGCGAGCCAGTGACGCCCGTGTCGCCGCCGCTGTTCGGCGACGCCTTCCGCAGCGCGGGCCAGTGACGCCCGTGTCGCCGCTGCTGTTCGGCGGTGCCTTCCGCAGCGCGGTCCAGTGACGCCCGTGTCGCCGCCGCTGTTCGGCGACGCCTTCCGCAGCGCGGGCCAGTGACGCCCGTGTCGCCGCCGCTGTTCGGCGACGCCTTCCGCAGCGCGGGCCAGTGGCGCCCGTGTCGCGCGGCCTCTGACGGCTCCGCCCTCCGCAGCGCGGGCCAGTGACGCCCGTGTCGCCGCCGCTGTTCGGCGGCGTCTTCCGCAGCGCGGGCCAGTGACGCCCGTGTCGCCGCCGCTGTTCGGCAGTGTCTTCCGCAGCGCGGGCCAGTGACGCCCGTGTCGCCGCCGCTGTTCGGCGACGCCTTCCGCAGCGCGGGCCAGTGACGCCCGTGTCGCGCGGCCTCTGACGGCTCCGCCCTCCCCGTCGCCAGGGCACACGCGGCAGGGCCTCAAGTGCCGGTTGTGCAAGATGAACGTGCACGTCGAGTGCCAGGGCAGCGTGCCGCGCTGTCAGCCCAAGTCACGCCTGCTGCGCCGCCAGAAGTCCACCTCCGAGCTGGAGACGCGCTACATCGAGGGCGCCGAGGACCCCAGTGAGTCGGCGCCGCACTGGCGCCGGCGCCAACGCCGCATCGCCAGCTGCGGAGGGGGCTGAGTGGGCTGTATGCTGTGTAGGACGAGATACACGGTGACCCTAGCTTGACGTAACGAAGCGTTTGATGAGGACCACGAAGGGCGGATGGTCAGAGCACACGGGGTAGGACCTACGACCTGCGTAGAAGCATTAGGACCTGCGAAAGCATAGGACATGCGAAAAGGCATTAGAATCAGAAAGGAATGGATGGCATACCCGTTAACAAAGGCTGATACCCTGGGGGCAAGATGGAAGGACGGTAGCAGGAGGTACGGCCGCGCCTCTTACGTGGACATACAGAGCGTGTTATCGCGCCCAGAACAGCCTGCATCTTTTGCTAAACCGAGCTTACCAAAGGCTGACATCTTGTCCTTAATACTCAATGTGCCGGGAGCCTACTGTACCGTCTCTCAATAAGATATTCATGTGATTCCACATGATGTCTTATCTCCCGGTAAACTTTGTGCAAGCATCAAACCCGGTCCTGTCTGCCGGTAATGGCCCTGTCCAGTTTCCCGGCATCCCGCAACGTCCTGTCTCCGGATGCAGGCGGTCTCAGTGCTGTCCCGAACCCTGACAATCGCGCTTTCTCCTGTTTCTCAACACTTCCCGTGCTGTCCCGCCCCCCTACAGTCCTTGCTCCCTCGTGTCTCCAGACAGTTCCCGTACCGTGTCGTCTTCCGACAGCCCCCTCTCTCCCCCGTCTCCCTACAGTCGCTGCTCTCTCCTGTCTCCCGACAGTCGCTGCTCTCTCCTGTGTCCCGACAGTCCCTGCTGTCTCCTGTGTCCCGACAGTCGCTGCTCTCTCCTGTGTCCCGGCAGTCCCTGCTGTCTCCTGTCTTCCAACAGTCCGTGCTCTCTCCTGTGTCCCGACGGTCCCCGCTCTCTCCTGTGTCCCGACAGTCCCTGCTGTCTCCTGTCTTCCAACAGTCCGTGCTCTCTCCTGTGCCCCGACAGTTCCTGCTGTCTCTTGTTTTCCAACAGCCCGTGCTCTCTCCTGTGTCCCGACAGTCCCTGCTGTCTCCTGTCTTCCAACAGTCCGTGCTCTCTCCTGTGCCCCGACAGTCCCCGCTCTCTCCTGTCTCCCGACAGTCCCCGCCCCCCTGTCTCCCAACGACTCCCATGCCATGCCGTCTGCGGGTCATCCGCGCCGCGCCGTCCACCCAGCGCCGGGCCGCGCCGTCCAGTCTCGGCCGGCAGATCGATAGGCGTCGAGTAACAAAAGTGGCGCTCCACCTGGCTGGGGCGTGCGCACCGAGCAGTGCTGTCACGCCCCCGAACAAGGAGGCCGGCACGCCGGCACGTGCCGCCTCTGTCAGACAGAGCCCTGGAGTCTAGACGGCCACGACGGTTAGCGAGCACTTCCGGCAGGCAGCACTGTTGGCGGGCTTTGGAGTGTGCCGACAAGCGAGCAAGCGACAGCCCGCCTCTGCTACTCTCTGGAAGTCCCTAAAGAACTCTTGTCAAGGCGCTGCCGCGGCGGGGCTGTTTTTACCAGAGCTTATCTGCCCTTGCCGTGCATCTCTGTTGTCGAAGACAGTCCCTGCACTAGAAAGTGGTTATTTCTTGCTTTCTAGAGACACCCTGGAGAAATTTAAGTCAAGGAAAACGTGAGAAAGTGCATCGGTAGCGTATGCTATGACAGGTATCAGCCTGTAAGTGGTGTAGCCGTTTTAACGTGGTGTTCGTTATCGGTAATTCCAAACGTCATTGCCGTAAGGGACGTCGCACTGTTCCTGTGCTCTCCATGCTAAGGTTGTTATAATCAGTGAACCAAAATGAGGGCAACGAGTAATTTACCTTTGAGACGGCGAACAAAGATGATTTACTTCTACCTCTGGTTCATTTCTGTGTTGTCAGCTACGTGTCCTAGTGGGTGTGACTACGTGACTCGGGACTCGGAACTTGGCGCCCACCAAGACCCGATTCTGGACACGTCTCTGCTGAATTTTGCAATTTGCCATGAGGTAGCAATTCATATTTATGAAACCCAGAGGTGATGCAGAACCTGTCTTAACAGTGGTGTATTCACCGTCTGTGGGCGTGGAATAATTATACGTGACACATCGCGCGTCTGTGGTGGGTCCCTTTGGCACCCGTTCGTTTGGCATGCCGTGCATGCACAACATTTGTAGCTGATTCGATTTTGGGCTGCGGTCGCACGGTTTCAGTTTTGTCTGCGCAAAAGCAAAAGGAGTCGTTTGCCCTTGCCATGATCGCCCTTTTGAAACATCCACGCGCGTTGTCTTGTGCGGTTTATGCTATCTTCGTTGTGCTTTGTGTGTATGGTTTTTCTCGTTCGGAATGCTTTGAGACGCTAATGATATTCTCGTTTGACATGCAATCTAACTCTGCGGACGTCCGCGGCACACATTCCGCATGGCGTCGGGCCAGTGCGATGCCGCGAGACGACCATGTTGCGGGCAGTCCTCAGTTGGGTCCGCGTCGCCAATCACTGCAGCGTGGCGTGTTTTTCTCTCGTCCCTGTAGCCGGAGCGGAAGCCACTGACCCAGTGTATGACCTGCTGAAGCAAGCGGCCGCCAAGCGCAAAGAGTCTTCCCTTCCACCGCCCACTCCCATCATTCGAGGTATACTGACGGCGGCTGCGGGCTCGGCCACCGTCCCCGGGGTTGGCCGCCGCCGCTCGTGACGGCCCAGAGGAGGCGCGCCGCGACTGGGCGCCCCCTGCAGGCCGACCCCCCTGCTGCTCGCATTAGCCCGCATGGCATGTTTTGGTGCCATTAGACAGACGATCGAGCCGCGGAGGGGGTCGGCTGGGGTGGCACGACTCTTGGTGAAAGGCTTGTGTTGCTCAGTGTCCCAAGTAAACACCCAGATACCCAGCGCGTCGCGCGATGGAGTTTGTAACGAAACGTTTCCTCATGCACCGAAGGGCTGCTCATGCACTGTAAGGCTGCTCATGAACCGATAGTGTGGGAGCACCCACCTTCATCTCACATGCATCTCACATCTCACAATTACGAGCTACATTCACAAGACTAAGCCTTTCTCCCCGGCATTACAGATACACACTTGTACAGATACATATTTGCATGCTTGCATACTTGCATTTTAACCCTTTTTATCATGCTTGCAGGATGAACCATCGCATGGCTTGTATCAAATGGCATTGCAAGAAAAGATCGGTTTGCATATCGCGAAGTTCTGTTCTTGCTGTACAAAATTATTAAACTTTCAGCCTTAAGTCAATTGCTGGCAGTCTGCAATATTTGTAGTGCCTCTGAACGCTGAAACTCAAAGTCATTGAGTATCTAGAAGCGACAAAATCGACTTAACTGATGCGGACAACCTAAGAAGGGCTAACCACTCGCATCTGCACTGACGTGGATTCTGCCTGCTGGATTGGTTATGTGCGTTTAGGTGATAGTTTACGTGTACGTGTACAGAAGCAAGCAAAATTGAAAAGCGTCCCAAATTTATGAAACATATGTAGCTGAGCAGACTCACGGAGGTGCAAGCTTAGGTGGATGATTAAGCATGCATTTTGGTTCGGAATTTGAATACATTCCCATCTTTTAAAAGGTTTCGCTACATTTCACGGTTATTAATATTTTCAGTTGTTCCGCAGCTCAGACTTACAGTGACACTAGCATAATGAATATCTATGCTCGGTCGCCTGCGTGCCGGTGTAGATGGCTGTCAGGTGATCAGGTGGCTCTTCGAATCACAAGCGAGGTGGACAGCATTTAGCGCATCCTGCTCCGCGTGCTGCCTGGTCATGTCGTGAGAATGCAGGGTCGCCAAACATCACGCTATTGTCGGGTCTTCGCACCATGCGCAGTGCGAGCGCTCATCGAGCTGGTGCTAAAGTGGTTACATTGTCCTCAGGTAACCCTTTCCCCGCCTGGTAGCTGCTACCGCGGTCTTCCCGCCTGAGCTATGCTTAGTGGCACATGACTGCAAGATAATTCCTCGTCTCCAGGCGCCCATCAAGTCCTATCCAGATTCAGCTAACACTGTCTTTCCTGGCGTTCGCTATTCTGTTCTTTACGTTTGATCTCACCTTCACCTGGTAATCGGTGCTCGCGGCACCGTACTGCTTGCCGCTGGGGCCAGCAGAGACTGACCATTGATTGCGTTCTTTTGATGTGTTTCAGACAATCGTTCCGGTCTTAGAGTGGCAATATCAAAGAGACTTTCCTTTCGGAGAGCGTTATCTCATGGCCGTAAATCAACTGCATTTAGTTGTCGTTTGTGTTACTATTTGTTTAACGTACCTGTTAAGCCTATAGGTAGCCTTGAAATACACCCACGGTGTCCTGCCTTTTCCTTTTTAGCAATCACTGGCAGTGCGATTTTTGTGTGACGTGCTTCTGCTAGTTGAGTAGCAAAGGGACAGACTTGGTTCTTCCCCGGGTTTGCGTAGTTAATTGCTGTTCTCTGTGACACGTGCTGCGTGTGGGCGACTCTGTGGTTACTGCACCCGCCCTGTGGCTTGCTGGTTCGTGATTTGGTTGGATAAGGTAATCACCCGTGCGCACAACGTTCGCCGTCATTGTGTTCGTCCCATAGAGCATGTTTGCTGTTGATTCAGGTGGTGAGACGTTGCCGCCGGCGCCCCGTGCTGTCACTCAGATCGTAGATGGTCGCCATCTGGCGGCTCTGGTTTTCGTTGTGTGAAGCATGGAAGGTGTGTGCATATATCCGTCGGTCATGCTGCATATGCAGTCGTTTCTCTTGAGAGCGCTAAGCCGACGTGCGTGTCACTGTCACCGATGTCATAGGAATCGGTATATTCAGCCGTCTCGGGGAGATTGGCGCCTGTGTAATTGCTTTTGCGATGGCTTATATGCGTTTGTAATTGCCAGCTAACACATGCTAGCAGAAATAATCGTCTCACGAAATCTCTTCTTGGGCGTGAATGTCAAATCGGCCTGGAATTGATATGAACTTAAAATACGGCCCCAGTGTTCCGCCGCCAGTCACTTAATTTCTTGTAAATCAAGGCTCACCAGTTATGACACAAAAATCGTCCCAAACAGCTGTGTGCTGGACGGTTTTTTGTACACTACCTGATGCCGTCGCTGGACTGTCTAGTGTTGGTTCCAGTGTCATGTTTGGTCAGCCGTCGCCGCTCCAACGCCAGTTGTGCGGGTTCCGTTATCAAAGGACAGAATGGGAGAGAGAGTGGCAGCGCTAGCTGGAACAGTCATCCGAAATGGTTTGTGTTTGAGTGCACTAAACAAAAAAGCATTGGAAAACAAGAAACTTGTTCAAAAACCACAACAGCTGTTCGTCAGTGAAACTGGAAGCACATACATTCTGGCGCAAATCATAGAGCGGAACATTGCGTGTAAACAAGTCATGTCCCTCATAAAAATGGCCAGTCCTTATAGGCTGTTGTTCGTGACATACGAAATCTCGGTGCAACAAAGGCATTGCCTCCATCACAGCAGGGTACGAATTCTTAGATCTCATGGGCTAAGTTAAGACCTAGACGCCTCAGGCTTAGACTGGTCAAAACAAATCAGGTTGGCACATTTGGCGTGCATTGTTCTGACGCCGCTCGGGCCAAAGTGGCTTAGCTGGAAGGAAAGCCAACGCATGATCCGGAGTCGTGCTCATACATTAGCAGGAGGTCAGATTGGAGTAGATGCTGTTTGGCAATGCAAATGCGGAGAGCAGATGCAAACAGCGTTATAAAATATGGTTCAAAAGAAACTTTACGCTCATCGGTTCCATACAGGGACGGAAAGATACAAAGTTTTTGCTATGAGAACCAAAAAGCTGATGTGTGTGTGTTTTGTTGGCAAACTGTGTTTTGTCTCTGTTTCATCGGTGTTTTACGTGATGAAGACTAGAAGCCAAATACATTTTGCATCTTTTGGTCACCATCTCAAAACCCTGGGCGTCAAGTTACCTTTTCGAGCGTAGTTACTGATCATCGTTCATTTGTTTGCTTCGTCTAACACACGTATAGTACAAAACCTCTGTCAAGCGCACCTTTTACATAAAATTTGTTCAAACCTCGCCTTGAATTACGTGCGCCGGACGAAGCAAGGAGTGTCACTTGGCACACATTCTAAGAATAGGAATAATCTGGTGTAGCTTATTTGAGCGATTTCATGCGCATTTATCAGCAATGACGACCTTGGACGGACGCACGTTACTGAAAGCTGGGATGTGAAGAAATCAATTTCAGTGAGACAAACATTAGTTAACTGTGAGTTCATGCTTGGTTTGTAGAATTAATTTGGATGCAAAATCCATAAACTGAAGGTCTACACTTGGGTTCTTTTAGCAAGGGTCATTGGGAATTTTCGACTTTCACGACGTGGTATGTACGGGGTACGAATGTTACGTACGAATATAGGTTTCGTAGTTACCGGATGCAAATTTCGAATAAAATATCAAACGCAAGGTATCAAAAACAGTTGATGGACAGTGATAAATGTTGAAGTGCGACACCATCGACTGATGAAGTATGGACAGAATAAGGATCGCTAGTAATACGCTGTATGCTATGCTGTATTGAACAACAGAACATAAAAGGCTACTGTAGTCCCAGTTAATATTGTTGGTTGCTATTGATAGATGGCTATTATCGGTAATGTTACTTAAATTGCCTAAGCTACTGCTTACTAGTTCCAGTACAAAAAGTTCATCAGGAGTGTGCCCTCAGACTAACAAAGCAGGACTCAATGAACTGACATGTTATTATCACACCAAATCATGAACGGAAAGCCTCCCAGTCCTCCACCAACAATGACCGTTTAAAAGAACCTGATGCCGTGACACGTGGGCTCGCGAAGTCCTCACGCGCAGCACAGCGGTTTCATTGTCCCGTCTATTGGTCGGAGGAAGAAGTTGAGTCCCACTTTTGTTGACAAATGAGAGGCAGTGGTTTCGTGGCATCGTTAAGATTTTTTGTGTTAGTTAAGAGAGAGATTTTACAGTATGATTGAGACGGAACATTAGTATTAAGGATGGACTAATTGCACGGGCCGTTGGCCTCGTCTGGTGTGTTCGTATGTGCTTAAGGTTTTGACCAGTTTCGGCAGGCCGTCGTCAGGCCTTATTGAGTCCTGAGGAGGGTTTGTGTGTGTGTGCTCTAACACACCGGACGAAGACAGAAGCTCAAACAATGATGTCACCCATGAATCGAGTGAAGTTGACACAGCTGGCAGGCCGTGAGCCAGCCTCGTTCAGCGCTCGCGTTCGGATGATCGAGCAATGTCTGCCAAAGATAACTCATGCAACAAAATTTAGCTTGACAATGGACGAGGGCCGAGCCGATGAGATCACCGTTTTCCTGTGTGACGGGACTGGAGGCGTGGTAGACGCAGATGATCAGCTTGACGAGAGCGCGCCCAGATTTCCGCAGCGAGGCTCTCATGCACGACGTGCCGGCGGAGCTGGGTAGCGATCGGGCTCCGTTACGCGGCTCCCGTCGGGAGCCAAGAGCGATCAGTTCAGCTTTACTCACAGACACAAGAACAGTAACCAAAACGGTAGGCTAAGTTAGCTTAGGCTAGGTGACGCAGATTACATTAGGCGCTTCGTTGCCACCGACTGTTTGCAGGCAAGGGTAGAAGAGCATTGGAAAGGGTCGGAGGTATTTTGTGTCCTTGGTGTCATTGCAACGAGATAATGCATCCAATGTTAGGGTTGCTGGGCCTGATATCGTCTGATGTTGCCAGCTAGGGGCGCCGGCCGTGGGTTGGGCTAGATCAATATCATGTCATGTTATGACAGATCTAACATCACATCCTAAGATGGGAGTCTCCGAATTCCGCGCTAATTGCCTGATTTAGTTAAGGAGACATAACGTTGTGTCCCGGACCGGCACGGACGTTGTGGTGGTTGGGATGGATGTCAGGAATCTAACTACGAATCTGGTGTAATCGCCAAAAACCTGGAACCTGCGTCGAGCATGTTAACAGTGAACATGATTTGGCTTAAATATTTATGTATGCATCCCGCGACGCTTATCTTTGACACATTCTCAGCTGATCATTTTCTCTTTATGTCGCTGCTGCTTCCTGACGATCACATTCATAACAGCTGATAATGTTTTCCATGCTGCCCGTTTCCGTGTTGATCTTTCGCTTTGTGCAAAAATGTCGCGACAATAGTTTGCAGCTCTTCAGTTTTCATCCTCAGCCTTATCTCCGTCCATTTTCATCACGTCGACTTATTTTTTACTCGATCGCGCTGTATTCAATTATCCTGATCTGTCCATAGTTTGACCATAGCAAGTCGTCGCGTGCATTCCATGAGTTTTAGCACTGCGTCCTATTCCGTTCGATATGTTGCCCAATATCGTGCTTTTGCCACGTGTCAGCCGTGCCGCGTTAAAACCGCTCTCTCAGCGGGCTATTCGCGGTACATACGCTGTAGACGTGAGGTCACTCGTGTCCGGCGTTTCAGAGCACGACTCCGACCAGGGCTACCTTGGTCTGGCGCGGCCCGCCGATGGGGCCAGCTCCAAGGCAACCAGCCACGGGTGAGATACCTCTCGGCTTGAGTGCGTGGTCAAAGCAGGATGCTCGACGGTGCGCGCACACACCGGCCCGTACATGACGCGTCAAAGCTGGTCCGTGACTGCACTGAATGTGAGGATGTGCATTAAACAAGTCGGTGTCATGCCGATTGATTGGGACTGCAGTACATAAATGGTCTTGATGTATGAGTAGGATGATAGACCGATGAGTCAATTAATAAGCGGGCGTGCGAGTTCATTATCACCGCACTTGTCCCATCCTGCAGAAGCGCATGAATCTGCTTCATACACCGCAGGCCGCATATACAATGCATAAATATGTATGCCCATTTGTCCCGTTGTTGAGAAGGAGCCGTGTTCATAGATTGCTCCATGGCTCAGTTGGTTCGGCTACTTGTCGACCGATTTTTTCGGAATGTTCTCTCGTCCGCAGCTTCTTCTTCCTTTACCTACCACCAGTATCACTGTTTTCCGTATTGCTAGCATCAGTTCAATAACCAGCTCACCGGAGACAGAGCAGGGAGAGAGAGAGAGAGAGAGAGAGAGAGAGAGAGAGAGAGAGAGAGCGAGAGAGAAGAGAGAGAGAGAGAGAGAGAGAAGGTAGAGAGAGAGAGAGAGAGAGAATGAGAGAGAGAGAGAGAGGAGATAGAGGAGAGAGAGAGAGAGAGGAGCGATAGCAACAAGTAACACAGATTCAGTTACATAAATTGCAGAACATCCAAGCTCCGCTACGGTTGTTTAGTATACTTCATAACACGGAAACTTTAAAAAAATTGTTCACTTTCGCATTTTTTTATGTGGTGACATTTGCCAGCAGCTTATGGTCGATGCATTAGCCAGAAATGAACGGGAAACCACACCTTAGATGCAATTATAGTTTCATTTGCTTTCCGGATGTGTCGGTGCATTGAGACTGCAGCGTCCTGGAACACACACGCATTGAGGCGCGACATTCACGGCACTGGAGCCCCAGCCGGCGTCTGAGCGCATGAGCGCAATGTCGTGATTGGCGCGTGGCCCCCAGGTCATCGAGCGACCTGCAGGCGCCGGTCGGCGTGCGGCTCATACCAGCCGTCGCGACGGCAGGGCTCCACGCCCCGCACACTCAACGCGCCGGCGCCGGCGCCGGGCCGCGGCTGCTCGTCTTCCTCAGGTCAGTGGGCGCGGCGTCGCGTCTTCCCCAGGGCAGCGCGTGGCATACCTCGTCATTCGCAGGTCAGCAGGCGGCATATCACGTCATTTGCAGGTCGGCGGTTGTCATTCCTTGTCTTTCTCAGGTCAGCGGCTGCCGCTTGAGATGCCGCGCGCCGCTCAGTCTTCCTCAGGTCATCGGGCACCGCCCCATCTTCCGTTTTGTCTCGATCGCCGTCCACACGTCGCAGCTGTCCACAGGTCACAGCTGTCAACACGCTGCAGCTGTTCACACGTCACAGTTGTCCACAGGTCACAGCTGTCAACACGCTGCAGCTGTTCACACGTCACAGCTGTCCACAGGTCACAGCTGTCAACACGCTGCAGCTGTTCACACGTCGCAGTTGTCCACAGGTCACAGCTGTCAACACGCTGCAGCTGTTCACACGTCGCAGTTGTCCACAGGTCACAGCTGTCAACACGCTGCAGCTGTTCACACGTCGCAGCTGTCCACAGGACGCGGTCGTCCACAGTCCACGTCTGTCCAGGGTCGGGCCGCACGGTAGCACACGCACTGTGCGCACGAGGCGTCGGGGTCAGCAGTGACAGCAGACTGTTTGCGGTGTTGAGAACTAACCTCCGCGCGGAAGGCCGCTAGCCCTCAGGCTTCGACCGAGAACGAAAACGCCTGGTCCCGCATGAAACGGTTTTTCATGTGCACCGGAGGACGGGGGATCATTGTTTGGCAGTTGAACTAAACCTGCCCTTGCTTTTCAGCATGTGGTTTTAAAAGTGGGGCGGGGAAGAAACTTCGAACTGTTGAAATTTGCAAGCGCGTGCAAACACATGGAGAGTACCGCTGAAACCAAAGTCGTTAAAGACACGGGCATGCTTGTCTAGACAGGGAAGCAGTATCACGTGGGCCATTCTAAAGACTGCTATTCATTGTCTAGACAGTGAGGCATTATTACGTGGGCCATGCTGTTACCTTGTCGTTCAGCCGAAGCGTTACCAGTGGGCACACTACTAGTATGCCACGATTGAAATTCTCCAGCCGCGGCTGGTGTCAGATTCAGGATAACAAGCCCCTGTTGTCGGAGCCGTCATCTCAACGTTGCGAACACTTGGAATCCATTTACATTTTAATCACCACGCCTGCCGGTTGGAATCAAAGGTATTAACACTTGGGCTGAATTAGAAAGTCCACTGAAGTTTCTTTTTTTCCGTTTTGTGCTTTTCTGCACCACTTTTGAATCACCACTGCTGGGAACCCACCCTGCGGGGCACCACATACCAATCGCAGGCTCATCAATGGCCAGGGCCCTGCCTCAGCCCTTCGCGTACCATTTGCAAGTAACTGCTAAGAGAAGCGTCTCACCAACTAGCGTTCCCACGGTTAAAGTTCGACTCTGATCTGGAGAGGACCCGTGGTAGCCGCAGGCAGCCGCGGCCTGATTCCGTGTCAGTATGCGTCATTGCCAGGGAAGCGAAGTTCGCTGCCGGCGATGTTTCTGCGCACCGCACGATTGTGGGCAGCGGATCGGTGGGTGCCGCGCGCGCGCGCCTGCCGCAGGTGGTGGGCAGCCTGGTGGCCGCGTCTGGTTGGCCACCGTGAGCTCTCGCACGCGCCTTCGTTGTGAGTGTCCTGTCCGGCGGAGAATGGAGACGCGGTTGTACTGCTCCAAACGCACAGCGGCGCACCATTCCCCGCGGTTGGAGTGCCGCCTTGGGCCGGCTTTACTCTCTGATACCGCTAGGGTTTTGGAAAACGACCGATGATATGCTGGCACAAACTCAGTTGAAGCAGCTGGCGACCTGTTTGTAGCATTCACTGCGACGATTTGACTGTAATGTGTGCATTATGAAGAATAATATCGTTATCAACGCTGCCTTTGAGGCGTGATGTACGTGCACCACGAATACGAGCAGCTTGTTTAGTTGACATTATGGACCTTGCAATTTCCGCGTGACTTGCTGTTTTGCTTGTTTGTCTGTGGCTGGACTTATTTGACATGGTGTACGATGGTAATAGCATACAAGACCGCACTGTTTTGCTGTTCATCTATTTGTTAGTTTATGAGCGCAAAGTATTGGCATAAGATTTGAGAACGCATGTTTCGAAAAGCATCTTTACCCGCGGGGCAAGCGTGAGAAGCACTCAAGATGGCCTGTACTGGTTTACGACCTGGAGCTGCCCGCTTTCTTAGGATATTGTGCGGGTGTGAACGGAAGGGGACTTGGACAAGGGGGGGGGGACTTGGAAGGGGGGAACTTGGACGGGTGGGAGACTTGGACGTGTGGGGACTTGTGTGGGTGGGGGACTTGTACGAATGGGGGACTCGGACGGTTGGGGGACTTGGACGGGTTGGGGGACATCAACGGGTGGGGGGCTTGAACATGTAGGGGACTTGAACGGGTGGGGGGACTTGGTCGCAATCCAGTCAGCTAAGGCGGCGGCTTGAGTCCAGGCCTGTCTCAGACATTTACTGCTCACAGGTCAGTAACATTCGTGTCTTCTTTTCAGCCCCTCCCGACAACGGAGGAGGGAATCCTTTTGACTTTTCTCCGAGAGCAGTTGAGAGGCTTGGTCCTCAGGGACCAGACAGCAAAGAGAAAAGTCCTGCCCGGGACTTTTTCAGGAGCTTTAGCATGCGGAGGCGGTCAGCGAAACAGAAGGCCTCCAGCGCGGAGGCCGAGCCGGCGTCGTATGACCCTAACGGTAGAGAGCTGGCGCCGCTGGGCCGTGTGTTGCCGTGGGCCGCCCCGATAGTAAAGAGTGCCGTCGCCAGCCGGCTGACACTACGCGCCGCGCCAGTCGCCGCCGCCAGTGTGTGTGTGTGTGTGCGTGTGCGTGTGCAGTGACCCGCGTGAGGTGTGACAGCCGGCGGCGGCTGACCTGACCTCTGACCTCTAACGCCTCCACAGCGCCACACAGCCCGCGGCGCAACAAACTCAGCTTGCGCATGAAGAGCTTTTCCCTGGACTCGCCCGAGTCGACGGAGCATGCGCAGAGACATCGACGCTCCGGTCCCAGCGGCAGCTACCATTCGTCACATAGCCAATGTAAACCGCCGTGTCGGCCACTCTCTGTACATACATATTCCTCTTATTGTCCATGCGAATGCGGCTGCGGCATTGTCGCTACACACGCACACGCTCTAGGTCTCTGCCTGACTGTCGGTCACGCTTCATCTGGCACACGGCTGGCTTCCGCCGCCGGCGGCGCGTCGCCGGATGCGGCGCGCGCCCCCTCGGCGGCGGGACATGGCCGCCCACCTGCAGCCGGCGGCGGCTGCATGCGCGCCGCCTGGTCTGCAGTCGGCAGGGGCGCGCAACGGCTGTCACACCCTCCCGTCAGCCCCGGACGCCGCCGACACCTCCGCTCAACCGACCCCCGGAGGTTGTCGCGTCTGGAGGAACGCCCGGTCCAAGCAGGTTCGCCCGCGCGCGCCATCGCATCCCAGCGTGTCAGCGGGGCCGAGACCAACATGACCGGTCTGCTGGAGTGGCGCGCACCCCTTGCGGAGGCGGCGGCGTGTGGGACGTGCGGAGAGCGCCGCCGTTCTCGCCGCCCGTCGCCGCCCTCCGTGAGAGACCGCCTGGCCCTGCTTTCAGTGCGTGGCTGTCGGATATCGACAATTGCGCTCAGCGTGGTGGCGCTGGAACGTGCCGGCCGGCGGGCACGCGCCGCAAAGTCGGCCTACAAGTCGCTGGACCAGGTCGATGACCGGGCCCGCGCGGGGACGCGCGACGACCTGGTGGCCTTCTCAGAGCCATGCACCCGCGCTTCCAGTCCGGCATTCGGACACGGTACTCTGTCGGCAACTCTGTGGCAGCTAGAGGTCAGCTGGGACGGCCAGCGCTAGGGCTGGGCGGACCATAACCTCCCGGCACCCCATGCTACGGCTAGAAGCTATAGAGGCTCAGGTCGGCCACCATCATGGCCAGCAGCCTGTCGACAGCGCCGTCAGAATGGGCTGCTAGAGCCGACGCGGTTAGCGGCCCGTCTGTGTAGAGCAAACGAGAGAGCAGCTCGTAGGTCTTGAGTAGTTACAGAGTGGTCTTAGTTAGCGAGCAAACCGCTCCAGCTTCGGCACATCTTGTCATGGCGGTAGTAAGTAGATGTCTTCGTGGAGTGAGCGCCGCACCGGCTCACGAATCGGTTCATGATATCACAGAGAAGGTCTGTTTGTCTTTTTTAGGAGGACGATGAGAAGACAACAAATCAGATCATCGCTGCTGTGCGCGTTTTATACTTCAAGGGGGCTTGCATTTTTGTATTTTGTCGGAAAGCTTTACGGATATTTCAACATTGTGCTACGCGTAAGTGTAGCAGGGGGACCATAGTGAGCAACTAAAAAGTTTGCGAGCGAACTATGGCGAAAGATGGCTTGCTGTAAGCATCCACCATTCACTTATCCTACAATCCAGCCAACGCGTGGGAACCGCGATTGCTCATATGAAGCCCGTTCATATGATGCCGCTCCAGCGTGCCGCACGTCCGACACATGCGTGGCTCCAGTGTGCCGCACGTCCGACACATGCGTGGCTCTAATGTGCCGCACGTCCGACACATGCGTGGCTCCAGTGTGCCGCACGTCCGACAGATGCGGGGCCGTGCACTTCGACGCCATTCTCGTTTCACTGGTCGGCCGATGTTGCTTTATGTTTGCCTTGGTTGTTCAGCTCGCATAAACGTACACATACATTTTCTCTGAACTTTTCTTCTTCTTTTGCAGTGCGGCTATCAGTGTTTTGTAAATAATCGATGTAACGGGACAAGCGCCACACGCTGTAACATACCACTCATAGCACTGCTGCGACGGCGGCCAGCTCGCCTACGCACGGCATGTCGCGGACTGCCAACTGTGGGCGGTCACGAGGCGCACACTAGGTTTGCTGTGTGCTGCAGACCGGCCTGGGATAGCCCGGCCCCCCGGCCAGCCTGAACCACACTCCTCGGTCAGCTGGTCTCGGAAGATCTACGTCTGGTTTGCCTGCCGCGATGGTGCCTCCTTCTGAGCGCCTCCTTCGGGTTAGGTGTCACTTTGCTATTAGAGGGCCAGGATCTAGTGAGTTTTGAATGCAAGCTGGTTTGCCATTTTCGCAAATTATTGCTGTCCATTACTACCCGAAAGCAAAGACCCTTCGCCTTTGCTTGCTTATCAACTCCCCCCTCCCACGTCAACTGCAATACAATAATTTCCTACGATTTGCCCCCTCCCCCCCCCCCCCCCTCTCCAAATCCAGCTTCGAGTCTCTCGTCCCTCAGAGGCTGTTCACGGTGTATCCGTCGGCCGCCAGTCGGAGCCGTCTGCCGCTGTCGTCGCTCACGATTGGTCCGTTATTGTTGGTGCTTGCAGCTCCCTCCAGTCCCGTGCACAATCGCCGACTGCTCTCGGCCAAGGCTATGCGGATGTCGTCTCTGGGACCTGCCGGACGAGAACGAGAAGTCGCAGAGCTCTGCCTCCACCTCGCCCTGTCCGTCCCCGGTGAGTGCGGCTCGGCTGGCGGAGTGACCCTGTCTCTCGGTGAGCTTCTGTGCCAAATTAGAAAACCATGGGGGTCACCTGTCGGTCCGGTCTGGGTCAACTGGGTTGACTTGGTGGCGGATTGGTACGCCAGTTGGGTAGCGCTCGCCGTGTTCTGAACTGAATTATTCATGTTTAGCTGGTCGAGTGGCAGAGATGGGCCCCGCTCCGATCATTTGGATTCTGTCCCACTCGGTGCACGTCCATTTCGACTTGGAGCCATTTTTCCGAGAAACTTTGGATCCGCGTCATAGAGAGGCCCGCGCAACTATCGAATGAGGTGTGTCGCGAAAACGAGCATCGGAAGTTCGCCGCTGCTTTCCAAAGAGCAACTGTTGGATGCTGACAAATCTTACCAGCTGAAATAGATTGACAATTTTTCGCTTTGTCATCTGTCGCAACGCGAGGAACAAGACAACTGAAATGATGGAAGTATCTTGACACCTTTTCGCCTCCATTGAGCTTAACTGCACCTCCCATAATAGATCTAAACTTCACGGCATTATTGCAGCGCATAGAGCATTCATGGCGCAAGTAAAGATATCGAATGAATCATGAGAGTTTGTCGCAAGTATAACTAAAAAGATAAAGTTGGTAAAACTACCTAGATCACTCAAAATGATTCTTCTGTGGGCTCACTCCCTGTAAACACCTGTGTCTTTTTATTCGGCCTATATAGATGGCCTATATAGATGGTCTATATAGATATAGATAGATATAGACGGTCATCCCCAAATAAAAAATGATGTTTAAGGTGCGATATGTTCCGTTGTTTGGAGATAGCAATGACTTAGGAATGGACCATCGTGCGACAACTGAACGCCCAGTACACTGTACAGTTTGTAATGTTTCGAAATAAACCTCCACAATGCACTTTCGTCACACAGCGGCGTAGCTGACCTTGATTTGGGACATCACTGTATGGCACTGCATCCCTCACGTAAAAGCGCACCAGCATGTGGTAGGAGAATGTTTCATATTTGAAGATTTTCAGAAAAGCATCAGATATGGTAAAATAAGCTCAATTGTAAGTGTTGATGTGCTGTTAAGTGCGTAGGCTGCTCTAGACAATGGCATTTCACCAGTTAGTAAATAGTCCCGTCAATAAGTCGTTGTTTGATTACGTCATTGAACTTCTGTATCACGTCGGAGTCGCTGCCAGATGGCCGCATCAGAATTAACACTGTAGCGGACGGGATGACTCACTTGTAGTTCTTCTACCTCCCGGGAGGTGACGCGCGTGTTGGCGTCTGTTTGCGAAACCCTAAGATCATTAAGTGCGCGTGTCATGGCTCTTTCTCGTAGTGTTCTTGTATATTTGTACGTGATTTGACGCTATTCACTTGCATGCGCATGCTAGGGTATTGCGCTGTTTTTAAGTTTTTCGATTCTCGCAAGTCCAGTATTATGTAGCACGAAACGTAATGAATGCTCGAACATCCAGGGCAGGCTGCATACATGCGCCAGCCGGGAGTGGGCGGAAGTGTCCGCCCTCTCCCCCGGTGGGGGCGCCCCCCGCAGAGAGGTCCTAGGGGTCAGATGGGTGCTCTTTTGTTTCGGTGGTTAGGTCCACAGTTGCAAGAAGTTTTGCCCCACCATTATCCATTCTCCTTCATCCTGTGTCCTAAAATGGTTATGGCTGGACTCAAATCCAAATAATCAAATAAAAAGCATGTTTGAAGGCTGCACTCAGCGCGTTAGGATGACCGAGGCCCAGCTGATGACCGCTGATGCCACGAATTATGTTAACGTACGCAAGACACGAATTTCTCGATAATCACATTTGTTCTTGGCCTTGAGCACTGCATGGGTAATGAGGTGGCGGTATTTAGGTAACACTTGCATGGCGTCATGAATGTTCGGGTGACTTCGAAATAATCAGCACGAAATAGCCTGTGCATGGTCATGGGCGTTAACGTCGGAAACAAAAGGGGTTTAAACCTTAAGAAGGGCATGGCTGTGAACTGCACTGAATGATCCTCCAAATGGTCATCAAAGTGCAAACCCCCACAGAAATGCGGAACATTCTCTTAAATGGTTAGAAGCCTGCTCTTTGGCGCTGGAATATTTTAGTACGCAGCTGCCACGTAATAAGTTGTCCGCGAATCCACACATGAGATTGGCTTTTTTATTCTGTGGCTGAGTGCTGCTACAGAGCACTAACCCCTTTTCAACTCTGGGCCTCCAGCCAGGAACACACCGGGTTGGGTGTGGGGCGAGCTAGATGGCTACATGGTCGAATAGTCGAATATTACATGCAGACTTTGGCAGCTGAGTAAAATGGCTAAGACTGATAAAGTCTTATCCTTCTTTGCCACACTCTCCTCACCCATGATACTGATCTCCAGCATTGAAGTCTGGACTAGTTCCACTCACAGATAAGCCATTGTAAATGCTGTGAGCGTCAGAAAGAAACAATCCAGAATTATGTCCGGGCTCATCCTACGTCGAAACGATTTTTCATATTACATCACGTTTCTGGGTTCTATGCACTTCCAGCTTACGACTTAATAACCCTATTACACTAACAACACAAATTACGATGGAAAAATCAACCAACAGCTATCACAACTACTATATAGCCACTGTGTGTCATCACGTCCTCCAACTCTCCTCCATTTCCATCCAGAGTGTTTGCTCGCGCTCTCGTCGCCGGACGTTGTTGTTTGTCTTCCTCCCATGCATTCATCTTCATTAGCGCCGTGTGCGTAAGCGCTGTGAGTGGCGCCATGAGTGACGTGAGTGACGCACTTCTGCCGGAGGGGCCGCTGCATCGTGCGCCGCGTCGCGCCTCACCCAGCGCGCCTGTTCCAGCAAAAGCCGCACCGCCTGCTGCCCACAAGCCTGTACGTTGTGCTGTACAACTTCTCGTCTCGGCACCAGGACGAGCTGGATCTGAAGTGAGTGGCCGCGCTGCCGTGCCCAACTCGCTGGGCGCGCGCCGGTCGGCCGCCGAACCTGACCTGTGGCCTGTGTTGGCAGGCGTAACACGCACTTCAGGGCACGTCGTAAAGGCAGAGCCGTCATGTTGCCGTCACGGAACTTGATGAAACGCGTCCTCCATGCAATGCACTAGTGAACAAAAGTGTTAAGCGCTACGTTATTGTATATATATATATATATATATATATATATATATATATATATATATATATATATAGGTGTCTGCTTTTCCGTAAAGATGATGCGTATGATTGCTGATGTGCATACCTGACAACCGTGATTAATTTGAACGATAGTTGGTACAGTAAAGCAGGCGTCCGATGTATCACTTCAAAGCTTTATGATTTTTGACCCCTCGCCCTAATTCGCCGTTTTCCATAAGGCCGACTAATAGGGGATCGATGCGACTCACGCAGGGGTTTCGAAACTAATGAAGCAGAGCCTAGCGGAAACCAGCCGAGAAACGTTTCTGAGCCAAATATCGCGATAGGTACTGCTCTTCCTGTTGTCGGGTTAATATGAACCTAAATGTGTCATTTCAAATGTCAATTTGCTTCAAAAGATTGCACTTTTCAGCCTTTGAAATGTATTTTATTTGACCCGATTAAAAAATTGATTTCCCCGAAACAGTCTACACATCTTCGTGAGCGCGATTTAAGGTCAGTTCTTAAGAAGGGCGCGGTGATGAACTGCACGGAAAAATCTTCAAGATGGTTTTTCAGTCCACAACCCCATTTTAAATGTGGAACACGCCCTTAAATGTAACAGTATCGGCGCACCACGCGTGTTCCACGGCGTCGTCGGCTGCCGCCCGCCGCCCGCGCCAAGCCGTGCATCGCTGTGCAGTGTTCCTCAAAAGCCCGCCGCTGCTACGTACTAAAAAGCTAGAAATACGTGTTTAGCGTCCAAACACGCACAATGGATGTCCCATAGACTACTGCGCATTTGAGCGTGATGCATAGTATGCCGGAGGGGTAGTCTGAAAAACCTACCGGCTCGCATCGACCCATCCCCTAATTAGGACGAGGGTTTAGTTCTAGCATGCCCTTCATGGTGCCCTATATTTGTAGCTGGGATGGACCCAGAAACAGGCATGAAGCCCCAATTACTTGACAATGTCGGCGAGATGAAGAACGTTCATTTGAGCTTAGGACTATCACATTGCCACGTTGTTGCGCGTATGAATGCAGACACCCGGTTCCAAGGGTGTTCAGTGCTAAACGAATTAGACGCCGGGAGCCTACATACAACTCATTGGCATACAACTCGCTAGCAGGAACATGATAGTCAACTCTGGTAACCGGAGTATGTCAAATAAGGCGCACGCGAGTCGGCCTGGTAGAAACAGCAAGACCAAGTATTGCCCGGCTGTCATCTGACTGGATCCGCTCCCCTCCCCCCCCCCCCCCCCCCCCCCCGCCTCCACCCTCCCCCCCAAACACATTATGTACGAAGGTAAGGTCGCGCTGCGCGCGTGGAGAGCCAGTCCCTGAGGCACCCAGGATGGATAGATGATGTGCGTTTTTCAAGTGTGGTCGTGTAGGACCCTCAGGCCTCACAGTCAACCACATAGGCAGCTTGTGTTGAATCCTGTCAACACGTGATATGTGGGATTTGGCAGCATCCGACCAGATGCTGTTGCTGAAGCTAATGGTACAGAGAATGTGACAATAGAGGTCTGGAGGAATGGATCAGTGTTATGAGCACTGCGGCTCTTCTGAACTCAAGGTTGCTGATTCTTGTCATGATAAGAGTACGGAAATATTAAACAAAGAACGCGAAAACTGCCAGGATAGATCTAAAGATGACCCACATCTTCGGATCGGTAACAAAACAGTCGCCAGGGCGATGAGCTGTTTTGCCTGTGAAAGAATGCAATGGAGCGGTGGCTCAGTCGGGGAGGGCCGTCAAAGTGACTCAGTCGGAGTGAACCGTCGGAGTGGCTCAGTCGGAGT